ATATGTGGATAAATCTAGTTTTCCCTGCAGGATGCAGCATCGTACAACTGTAAGTTATCAAAAAAATTATTTCAGGGTTTCTTTGTTTTTAAAAAATATATCTTATGAGCAAGAGGGCTATGTCAGGGGAATATTTCAGTAAGTGATTTAGCACTCAGTATACAACAGTACCATCTTTTTATTGTCTTATGCATAATGCCAGAAAAGCCTAATTAATATGAAAAAACCCAACATTGGCAGTAATTCTATTGGTACATGATGCAGTCATATAAATTAATTAAATGTTGCTTAAATTTGGTGGGATATGTAGATACAAGGGAATAGGAAGAGCTAACCAATTTTACACCTTGCCCAGTATTCTCATGGTTTGTACAAATGTTAAATATGTAAGATAAGCATAGCAGTCTCCCTGTAGACTGTATGTGAACTACATCAGCAAGACCACCACCACAGGGGCTTTAAGAACTGTCTAACCAATGCCAAGATTAGTGGACATCTTGTTACTAACGTCAAAGAGTTGAATCACGCCCTAATTGCCTGCTAAATGACCACAGAGACCAAAACACATCACAGCTTTAGTCGTCACATTGAACTCATGGAAAATCACACTGGTTTGTTGCTGTGACTGACGTCATGCCTAACAGACTAGGGGGTTCTGTGTCCGTCTCAAAGGTGTTCTGTAAACTTGAAAGCTCGAATACTCCTATTACAGTCTACATTTCTTACAGCACAATCCTATTTGTGTCTTCTCAGAAGTAAGTTCCATTGAGTTCAGTTACCCCCAAGTGAGTGTGAACAGAAGTGCAGCTTTATCAACTTCATCTCGCACTTTTTTCCCAGCTTAGTTGTGGATATGTCATGTTATTGTAATGATATTGTTTTGAGTTGGTGGGTGCCAGGGGTAATGAGTTCCAGATACCCATAATTCCTGGATTTAGTAAGTGTTAGAATTTAACCAATGCTTGGAGAACTAAACTGGAAGTCAGTCTCTTAATAGCTGGACTCAGATCTTCAAAAAAATGGGCCATTAGCAGAGAACAAAGGCAGGCATATGGGCTATCAGCAAAGCATAGACTCTGTGCCAGCCAGCAAATGGAGGCAGCCCTTCCTGAACTATGAGATCACTAGTCATAATACAATGCCAGAGTTTTTCTTAGGAGGAAGTTTTAGGGTTTTAGTTGGCTGTGGAGTGATCAGGCTTGAGGTACAGTGATATCTTACTTTCCCAGCCACATTCACCTGCACTTTACAAAAAATTACATGGAAATTTAGAAGTGCACCCAGCAATTATATGCTTGTGAATATAGCTTTTCTGTCACTTCCAGTTTCAAATTATTGATCATGGTAATTGGCACGCTTTTCAAGGACTTATATGGAAATGGCCACACACGTTTCAAATTTCATGCCAGCTACTGACATCTTTTAGTTTTTTCAACACTTTACTTTTCAAGTGTTGTTGCTATCTGTAGTTTAGCACATTACTGGCAAAATATAAGTGGTTTGAGTAGGTGTTATTGATGTCCAGTTGAGCTTGATCTAGGCCCTAGATTCTAGGGAATTGATGAAGGCCACAAGGCCAAGTACACCTACTTGGAAGTAGCCACAAGCAAATATGTACAGGAATTTAGTGTGAAACCTCTACTCCATTCCAGCACTGATGTCATGAATTCTTAACGCTTTGCATCATCCTGGCACAAGCCTCCTCTTTGAAGTTCTCTTTCGTTGCTAGCAGAGTGTTGCTGACAATGCATGTCTTTAGTAATGTCTTTGCCAATGTGTAATCTCCTTCTTCAAAGCATCTACAGGGGACCACCTACTTACCAAACAAAAATTCAGCTCATTGTCAATCAGCAATTTGTAGAGCGGTGACTCATATCTTTGGCATTTTTGAGGGTTTGAGGGTTTCTAAATTAGCGTGATGGTACCTAAACTCTGCATTTCTCTCTTTGGTAAGATGAATTCAAACCTGTAAGCATTTGTGTGAAAATATTTCATCATTCCCTACCTGTATCTATACGACCTTTAGAATACCTTACATCTGAAGGCAGTCCTGTAAAGGGAAGTTTTGAACGTTTGATGTTTTATTATGTTTCTGTTTATGCTGGAAGCTGCCCAGAGTGGCTGGGGCAACCCAGTCAAATGGGTGGGGTATGATGATGATGATGATGATGATGATGATGATGATCACACCTTTCGCTAGCAAAACTCCTGTACAGGATTGCGCTCTAATTATACTAGTTGAAAACTCAGTCTATTTCTTCTCCTTTTTTCTGCTTGGTGGGCTGATAACATTATTACAGATGGATACTGACAAATTCTTTCTCACAAATCTAGGCTTATATACAGGATCAGGGACCATTCTTTCCATGCTTGTGCTTTGAGAATCAGTCCTGGTTGGTGCTCAGTAATTTTTCTACCTTACATTTTTATTTTAACAGTTTTAAAAGTAAATTACCTTGAATGAAATCTCTGTGCTTTTGCCATTTGACCTAACATTGCCCTCCTTATTCGTGTCAAGATCCACTTGTCTCTTCCTGCCTTCTCATCACTTCCTTTCTTCTCATACTAATGTCCTCTTCTTTTTCCTTTGTGCAGGTTTGGTCTCTCTCCCCACCCACCCTATCAGCGGCTTGAAAAATCTGTAATCAGTGCAAATGCCCAGTGCCTCCCCCATCCATTCCCGTTGCAAAAGGCTGAAACTGGTGTGGTAAGGGCCAAAGGGCAGTACATTGTGGAGATCTGTCCATCAATTATCATTGAGCTCCAAATTAGCCTCTCTTGAAACAGACAGATCCTTTGGCTCTCCCAACGAATGACTCTCCTTTGTGCATCGCTATACATCAGGCTTGAAACTGATTCAGTAAATTTATTTTTTTTAAAACAAATGCTAAACACCATACAGAAATGGAGTAAGAGTATGGAAGCAGCCTTGTAATAATAAGCCTCGTTGCCTGTAACCACAGAGAGCTGAATATTGGCGAAGGTTTTTTCCCTTGCTATCTCTACCAAGAACTGATGGTGAACAGAGTAAAATAAACAATGATATCAGTTACCTCTTCCTGACCTAAATAAAGATGTTTAGCTATTTAAATCAAATCACGGTTGTTGTGTTTGGGTTTCTGTATTGCTGCACAACCATGCAACACTATATGAAAAACTGTGTAGAAAAAAATGGGTCACTTAGGGGTATGCTTGTTGCCCTGGCGAAATGTTTAGTGCCAGCAGAACTAATATTTGCATGAGAAAATGCTTAAGTAGGTTGCTGGTAACTTTGTTGCACAAACTATTGTGTAATGAGTTTTTGCTAACGCGGCTGTTGCCCTGGATTTCACTGTTGCAGAATATTAAAACTCACTGGTCTGCTAACGCAAGAACCCTTGCGCTAGCAGAGGACATTAGATACAGCCTAATATATATTGTATTTTGTATTTGGCAGTGAATGCTCTGATAGTGGGGAAGCTGTTACAGAGGCTCAGAAAGTTCCATTGCTCAGAAAACAAAGCAGTTTGTGAACTTCTGTGAAGGGAGGGGAAATTGTTCATTTTAGTCGGGAAAAGATTACGTAGTGGTGCGCTGAATTTTGGCTGCCTTTTCGTTTTCAACACTGAAGTTTCCATTTCATAAGCAGGTGAAGCCCAGACTGAAGAAGAAACCACCTCCAGTGAACTATCACTTTTCATTAGCATCATTATAAAGCATCTAGAGTTTGGTAGGCGCTGTATATACTATTAAAAAACAACAACACAAAAAACCCCCACAGACAATAATCTGTACCCAGTGTCTTACAATCTATGAATCCAATAGACACAACACGAAAGGAAGAAGGATGGGGAGGAAAGGGGAAAACAATGAAACTCAGGCACCAATTCTTAAAGTTATATAATTAGTCTCATGGTGACCAGTTTGAATGTAAACAGTTCAGGAAGGGAAGAAGGCAAGTGGCCTCTCCATGGCACCAGAGGAGATGGCTCTGCTGTCCCCCACTGATGCAGCCAGGTGGAATGATGAATGATGGCAGTTACTAATTGGCACGTTTAGTCATCTTGTCCAACACTGCAATTTCCATAAGCTGTTTTTCTTTTTAATTTTGTTTTGGTTACTATTACTCTCACAGTGCTCCACCATTTCCAGCACTGCATTGTCATACTGCAGGAGCAGTTGAGGACACCGTATATTTTAAAAAGGTATAATCACAGATAATACATTTTTAACATGGGATGCCCACTTAGCATAAGTAAACCTGGAAGGAAATGGTTTTCTCCCAAGACAAGGCAAAATTAAACATGATTCAAAGCTTTCTTCCATCTTCTTGGTGTGAGCTGATTTTGAAATTATTTCTGCAGCATTCACCTTGGATTATTTCCAAATGTAGGGGGATTTTTGTCCTGGGGGTGGGAGTTTGTCCCTGTTTCTGTTTTTGCAACTTCCGCCCACCATTTATATGGTGTTCCCATGTGGTTTTTGGCAGGAAACTGGGCTGTGTTATAAAATGCTCGTTTACATTTTTGCAACCTCTTCAGTAAGCATAAAAGGGGGTGGAGTTCTGAAATTTTTCAAAGGTCTTGTGTAAGTGTATGTGTACCTTTACCACCAGCAGGTCCCCCTCCCCCACCATTTCATTTACTTTAAATTATGCTGTTGCCTATTGCAGTAGTGGAACACCTCTTCTCCCAGAAGAGGTGCCTCAGGTGGCAAGATCCACAGGGGAAACTAATCCTGATGTAGATCTCTATTTCCCCCCACCCTCCTGATGCAGACCTTCACTCACCCCTTCTTCCCTCGTGGGGAGGGGAGCAGCATTTTGTGGTTCCATGGAGTGTAAAGAATCCCACATTCCCTTGTTTTGCATGTAAATAGGGAGAACACATGGAAACTAACAAGAGTTCACCACCATCATAGTTTGATCTTCAGGATGGCTGCCAAGAAACAGGAAGAGTGTATTCCGCCCCAACAGTAAGACTCGCTGGTGCCATGACAATTTCTGTGTCAAGGAGGCAGTTGAGCAGGTTGATGAGAAAAATTCTCAATATCTGTTTGAGGAGCACCCACATGTTTTTCCAGTCCGACATAGAAATGCCACAGAAGGCACTGGATGTTCAGTTTCTGCAGCAGTCACCTGAAAGAGGAAGCTTTCATTGCGGAGCATGAAGAAATCCCACCAATGGAGCTCCCTCCAACCTCCTGTAGCCCAAGCTGTGGGCAATTTGGTGCTTCCTTCTAGTTCATCCAATCCCAGGGTGACCTCTACATTAATGACTGCCTTGTTTGAAGTCATGACATTTGCTCAGATCAGGAATCACCAGTAACTCTAAGAAAGCCCAAACAACTCCCTATGCTTAGGGGCATTTAATTTCTTTTGCAAACTCAAGAGACCAGCTTGTTTCTTCCAGAAAAGAAGCTCATACCTCTTGGGCCAGGGGTGGGGTGTATAGTAGTAGACAATGGGACAAATGTGATGAAGACTGCAAAGGATTTGGGGCTTGGACACACTGACCTAGTCTTTAGGCCATTTAGTGGTAATCTCCCATTTGGCTTGATCAACCCAAGTGTCTCATCAAAGCGTTTGGCACAGCTGGCTGTATGTTTATCCAGGAAGGGAGCTGCCTTTCACATCCAATGTGGCCATGTTCGCATTCATTGGGAGCAAAAGAAACTGGAGCTTGGGTCACCAACTGCAGATGCAAGCACCTTCTTCTCTGTTGCCATGGATCAAGAAGAGGTCTCAGAGGAACTACAGAGAAAGGGTGAAGAAGAGCCAGAGGGAAAACTGGAAACTGATTCAGAAAAAAGGTGGAGGATGACCACTAGACAGACACAGACAAGCTACTAAGTGTTGAGTTATAATTTCTTTGGCAGTACTGGTTTGGCAGTAAAAAAATACTTGCATTGGAACACACAGAGTAAACTAATTGGTACCTTTCTGACAGAAAAACGAATCCTTAATCATTATTTCCCCAAACCACATAATTATTAAAAACACCATAAATTATGTTGCTATTATGTTGTATAATATTAATTACAGAATGATGATGACAATGTCCCAAGGAGAACTTTTATAAAGGGGAGCTACAAGGAGGCCTCTTGTAGGCATTATCTTTGTAAGTAAACAACACTATATGAACTTTCCCAAAAGCTCCCAAATCAAAATTTTCATTTTGTTTTCTAAATGTTGTCTTGTTACTTTGTAAGTATGAAAATAAGGTTTATGCAGAGATAAATATGGTTTGGTTCTGCAGTTTTCTAAAGAATAAAAAGCTTTCCTTGGCATAAATAAAACTCAAAATGAAAAGGAAAGAAGCATTGCAATCCTATACATATTTGCTTAGAAGTAGCCCAGCCCCCTCTTCAATAGGACTTACATCTGAGTAAATATAGGAGTGCAGTATGTCAGGTCATGTAACTTACATATAAGTCAGTCACAAGTAAGTCTAGTACTTCAGAGTCTTGAAGCCAGTTCTTCCAGGGCCCTAGGGGAGATCTTCAGGTGTCCCTGTCTGTCTATGCCCCAGCTGGAGCACCTGCACATTCTATTACCTATTCTCCTGTGATGGGTGAACTCCTCTGCTCCCGCATGCTTGATTTGGAATTGTGAATCCCTTTCATGCTTCTGCTGAACATGCAGAGGTGGGGGAGCAGGGAGACGTGACCAGTGGGGGCAGTCCTCCCCTCCCCGCAATGCATTCAGTCAGCATGCATGTGACCGGCATACACAGGACTGTGAATATGACGAAAGGGGGAGCAAAGGAAGCAGAACTGGGGTAAAGGTCTGGCCTAGAGAAATGATGCCATTTTGGCTGGACATGGGCAAACAAGAGAGGGAGCCAATGTGTATAGAGTTGCAAAGTCTAAAGTCTAGACCATGTTCGGGGAATTCTGACGGCTGTGGCTTTTTATAACATCACAGTGTTGTGACCTACCAACCCTAATGGACAGAAAAGGATAAAGGGCATTGGTTGGGAAGAGGCATGGACTGAGTTTCAGAGATTATATGGAACCGGCCAGCCAGTTATTTGGCTGCAAGAATACTGTGATTATAGAATGGTTCAATCTTTATTTCACTTCATTAATTCCACCAAAAAACCATCCCTATTTGTTTTGAGTCTACTCCCTTTCCTGCAGTTTCATATCTTCCTGTTGTAGCAATTCAGCCATTCCCAATCGGAAGTTAATTTGTCCATACAATGTGCAAGCTAAACAGTACATGAACACAAATCTGCCCCTTTCATTGAACAGGCAAGCACATTTGTGTAAGAACTTTATGCACACACATTGTCAGAATGCATACCCAGGGGTCTGCACAGGGGCAACTTGTGGACTAATTCTATGCTGAACTGGTGAGAGTGATAAAGCATACACTGAGAATACTCTGCAAACTGCAATGTTGGGGGGAAGTCAAGCTGACTCATTCCTACACAGATTTTAAAGTGGTACAGCAGATCTACAAGGCATTTTAAAAACAGAGAGGCAGGGGAAGGAGAATGTGTCTTAACTTTCAAAACTTCTATCACCAAACTACTTGAAAACATCGTATTAATATTTAACTGGAACTGGCAGACAGAAAAGTGTGGGAACTGCTTTATTAAAAGAATCAATGTTGATGTAAATGGCATTGCAAACATCACAAGGATATCATAAACCCTGGGAGGTTTTAGACGAGAAGAATGGGTGAAACCTGACCTGTGTCAATCAAGCCCTAACATGTGTGCTACCTCGAGACTCATCTAACATGAACCACAGATGTGACAGAGACTGAGGTCTGGATATATCAGAATGTATAACTGGGAACCAAACACAGTCTCCACTCATGACTAGAAGCTGATGCAAAAGGGGAGGGGAAGTGGAAGAAAGTTTGGTGAACAAGCATAGGAGCAAAAAGGGAAGTGATCCCTGAACAGTACAACCATCACCTGTATACTCATACCAACCTGAGACTTCCTGTTGCTTGTGCAGTACTAGCACACAAGAGACAAGTACCAGCAGACCCTGGAGAACCCTGAGATATGCACAACTGCAAAAAGTTGCAGGGGGTAAACCTCAAGGTCCTACCACAACCATAATAATTCAATATGGAATATTGAGAGACTGAGAGTAAACAAACTCTAAATGGTGGGAGAGAAGGACAGAACAGTGGCTGAATGGAGTGGTTAGAACAGGAGGATGGATAAACACACACATATACACATATGATATATACATAATAATAATCTTGTTGTCTGAATAGGTCCTGGTTCATCCAAGAGCTATTTATTTGTTGTGAGGATCAGAAAGTGAGAGCTTCCCATAGACCTCAATTGAGTAATGAAATAATTTAGTGTAACTGGAGTTGAGCACAAGTGTGTTCCTCCATATATAACACCACATAAAATTTCCCAATGAAGATTGAGCAAGCTCAGTGGGCACGAAGTGCAAGCTGGTTGCAGGGCGGGGGAAATCAGGGGGAAGGTATGGAATTGGGATGCAATGGAAACACTAGACAACAACATTCCACACTGTAACATTGTGTTGCAAGCCCCACTTGAAGGAATTAATTCTAGAAAGATACAAGGGTCCCCAGGATAAACCTAAGACTCCAATGGGCGTCACTCCTGTGTAATGTGCCATAATAGATCATTTTACCAGTTATGCTGAGCTGCTCAATATCATCCATTCCTGGGTGACAAATCCGTTTATTTTATGACTACAGTCAGCGGCGTAGCGTGGGTTGTCAGCACCCGGGGCAAGTAATTTGCGCCCCCTAACCTGTGGATTTGCGCCCCCTAACCCGTGGATTTGCCCTAACCCCAGATGTTGCACCCGGTGCGGCCGGGCCCCCCTGCACCCCCCACGCTACGCCACTGACTACAGTAAACTCCTGCCTTTTTCCAGGTGTAACTTTGTTTAGGACAGTCTCTTGCCAGTGTTTCAAGGGGATGAAACATAGCCTGTCACAATGTATCTCACTCGTAATCACTTCTAGGGAATTGTTCATTTGCAGCCACTGTGCTTGTACATGTTGTTTTGTTAGGTTTCAAGTGCTTCAGTGAGAACAGTGAGTTTTGTTTCCTAATAATCAGGAATATTCACCTGTTATTTCACATGAGGTTCTTTGAGCACTGTTCAGACACTAACTGATCATCACTGAACAGGTACACCTCATTACCTCCATCACAAAGATAGGTCAAGTAAAGTCCAAGGTCATTGATCAAGTTTGTGTCTAGCAGCCCAAACACTCAAAACTCCCAGATGTCTATTCTGCTAAGACCATGTCTTGTTTCTGTCACACCTACACTCTTGTCCTTGCAACCTAATTTTAACTTTTGGCTCACTGGAAGACAGCTGTGTAGGGACCATGCAGTGGGTACAAATGATTCTTTTATTTTTATTTCCCTGGAGTAAATGTGCACAGAATTCCTACCTAAATTTTACTGCTAAGCAATGAGATATTGACCTCTCCTTCTCTCTAAGAAAAAATATGTCCAGGATATGCTCGTGATGTTGTAGTTGGTTGTTGTTGTTGTTTTAAACACCATAAAAAATTTTATATAACATTTATATATCAATTTGTCTCAGTCTCAAAATTTACCTGATTTTTGTTATGTTCCTTCTGTGTGTTTTTTTTTTAATATAGTTGTGATTATGCTAATAAGTCAAAGGGAGGGGGGAAACCCCCAAATGAAATGAAAAATGTATAAATTGGCTAGAGCTGCATAGAGGGAGCACATGCCATAAACCATGGAACTGAGTTGACTACATATGTATATATATACATTTACGTATACAGAATTCTCTACCAAGCCACAGCTTCTGTATCACCTCACCCCAAAATGACGTTGCTGATGGCTAAATTTTGGGCTGGGGTGATTCTCCACTCTCATTCGGAGGTTTTGCTGCATTGTTCTCCACTCCGGGCAATTGAAACTAGCCTTTGGACTCCTGGCCTGCTGCCACATTGCACGAGCTCTCGGCCAATTTAAATGGCATTATAGGAGTTGGGGCAAGGTGACCCACGCAAACTGAATGCAGGCAGGACAAACTGTCAAGGTCACGCCAGGGATTTTGCTTGCAGCCCGATTATTATTTGTGCACGCAGCACATAAAAAATGAAGCACTGGATCTACAAGGCACGTTTAACTGTTTCGGGACGGGGGTGGTTTGTTGTTTTCAATTTGGTGGCCGCCGGTCCCATCTTCGTGGAGTTGTGGGCGTGAGGGATCCTCGACCATCTCTCGCCCGCCGCCGAGGCTCCTCGTTCTCCATCCCGTATCGGGAGATGCGAGGAGGGAAAACACATCTTCTCGGGCGCTTTTAGAAGCCGAGGTCTCTTTGGTCCGATTTTAAGCGCCCCGAGGGTCACTTGACACACGCGGCTTCCAAATCCCTTGGCACGTGGTTCCAAAAATCAAAACAAAAAATAAATCGAATATGCCCGAGAGCTCGGACCCTTTGCGAGGGGGGTTCAAAGCCAACTTTTAACAGGCGCCTCCCCCCTCAACCGCCTGGAGTGATCACTGGAGCCGAGCTGCCCCTGGCTGCCCCCGAGGAGAGGCCATTCCTGCCATTCCTGCCAGCCTAGCCTCTCAGAGCCGCGGCCAGGTTTAATCCCTGCCTTGGGTGCCGGTGCGTGAAGATGCCTAATCCTATTTCGGTGCACATGGATGGGGCGACACCGCCCTGCCTGCCTGCCTGCCTGCCTCGCTTTGCCGCGTCGGCCAAGAGGTTAAATCCGCCCCACTGGCGCCTACGGGGTTAATCGGGGTCTCGGGTGAGGCGGCGCACGTGCGACCGTTAACTGCCAAGCAGCCCCGCTCTCCCGGCCGCCCTTTGCACACGGTCTCGTACATTCTCACGCAGTAGAGCCCGTAGAGTTCCACGCGCCCAATCTCACACTGGGCTCCGGGGCACAAGGAGTTAACAAAGGAAAGGGGGAAAAAGAGAGAAAGGGCCTAGGCTGAGTTCCGGCGCCGGACGGGTTAATTGGAGGCGCTGCGGCTCCGACAGGGGGCGACCCCTGCAATGATAACAAACGGTCACGTGGTGCGGTTCGAGCGGGGAGGGCCTTTCCTCCTCTCGCTCCCTCCCTCTCGCTTTCCCTCGGCGCTAACGTCACCCCACCTTCCCGATCTCCAGGGCGACGGGCCCATCTGGGCGCGCGTCAGAGCCTCCCGTCTCTTGGCAACGGCTGGATGTCTCTCTCTCCTTTCTCATTCAGCCTCGCGCTTGATCGCGCGTCGCTCTGGCGTCAAAGTGACGTCAATGGGCCTGTCTCGGTTTTCGGAGGGGGCGGAGGGAGGGCTTCCCGCGTGCTCCTCTGGCCCCGGCACACACAGAGCGCGAGGGCAGCAGGGAGAGCAGCAGCAGCAGCAGCCTGAGAGCCTGGTAGGCAGGCAGGCAGGCGGGCGCGGAGCAGGAGGCGGCGACGGCGGCAGCAGCAGTCAGCCCGCCAGCCAGCCCGCCTCGCGCAAGGTAGAGTCGGAGAGCGAGGCGCGCGGGGAGACGCTCGCAGCCGGCGCTGCGCTGACTCGGGGCGCAAGTTTTCCGAGGGGAATTTCCCGCGGCGCCTCCGCCTCGTGGCTTTCATGCTCCGTCCTCGGGGGCATTCCTGGGCT